ATACTGACAGGAAATGAAGTCTAGCTGTTTAGACATTGAAGATATATCACAGTTTATGCTCTTGATCTTTATTACAAAAGGCAAGTTATCCATGACAGTAGTAGAGGTATGTCGTAGTCTATAATGCCATAAGAAGAAATCATTTGTAACAGAACTAGCATTAGATTGATCAACAAGAGCAGAAAAAAGAGTTTAGTAAGTCTAGTCATAGAAGGAAAAAAAAATTTAATGGGTTTAGATAAAAAGATGTCTGTCCAAAATATAGAGTCTGAACATCGCTCTTCCCACAACCAAGATTTCATCATTCTTCAGGTCCTATAAAGTGCAACATTTTGGATAAAAAATAAATTTTATCCAGTCTGTTTCAGATAATTTATTCATAGATAACAGGTTAAATTTGAAACTAGGTATATGAAGGACATCGGTTAAGGCAAGCTTTTCAATTAAATGCACAGTTCCTGTATGGTGAACAAGTTTAATGGAAGCATTTAGCAAGCAAACTGGTGTAGGTTTGGTTATTAGAATAAGTGAGGTTATTAAAATTATATCCACACATATATGATTAGATGTACCAGTGTTTACTATCCAGGTTCTTAATTCAAAATGTTCAATTGAATTCAATGCATGAAGAATAACATTACCTGTAAATCTTTGAGATGAGCAAAATTTACTATATCAGATTGCACAACCTTTCCTTTCATGAACTTTGTTACTTCCTCGTTTACTAATCCTTTATTCATATCCATTGGCGAGTCAACTGCATTTATATAGTTTTTGCCTCCAGTTTGTGTTCTTTGCTCATTCTTGTCTGTATACCAGTCAGGATATCCGTGTAGCTTAAAACAATTATTCTTTGTGTGACCATCATGATTACAGTGATCACAATGTAAATCTGATCTTTTCTTGAATAAGCCTCAACCTCCTTTGCCTACTCTACCTGATTGACTAATATTTCCATCTCTTTTATAATTATGTATTCTTGCAAGCATTGCATTCTGTTCCACATGTTCTGAATAATTGCTGTGAACTTCATTTTGTTTTTCCACCCATAATACCATCAAATAAGCCTTATTGATTGTAGGTAGAGGATTCATAACTAATATTTGGTTTCTGATATTGTTATACGAGTTATTGAGCCCCATCTAGAACTGAATCAATCTATTTGATGTAGTAATATCAGCAATGACCTTGATGCACCGCATATGCATTGTGGAATTGACATCAACACATTCAATTCGTCCATAATTTTTTCAGCTTTGTAAAGTACTGCACCATAGACATATTATCTTGACTTATAGAAGCAATTTCCTTTTGTAATTGATACAATAAGGGACCATTGTATTTTTTTCAACTCCGACCATAGTTCCATAGCTGAACTAGTGTAAAGGAAAGATTCAACTATATCATTTGAAATGCAATTCAAAATTCATGAGGTCACCGTACAATCTACTCGAATTCATTTCTCATAATCTGTTGAATCAACCTTAGGCATAACATGTTTACCATTAATGAAACCTAGTTTATTCTTTGCACCTAAAGCAATCTTCATAGCTCGTGTCCAAGAGAGGTAATTGTTAACTGTAAGTGGATTAGTAACTCGAATCATCGCTGGATTATCTGAGTTTTGCAACACAAAAAGATTTCGATCTCCTTCTTCATTACTTATGTTCTCAGTTGCTCTTTCAATTCCAATATTAGCATTCAAATCTTGCATTCTATTTTCCTCCATTATAGAAGCAAGTTATCAAGACCAGTAATCAAGAAAGAAAAAAAAAATTCAATAAAGCTGGATCAATTGCTTTGATACCATGATAAATTCATTACCAGATGAAAAAGAAGAGAATCAATCTTTTGTTCTGTAAACAAAGTTTGGACAAGTATTCTTTATATACAAAAAAAAAAGAAAAAAACGGTTACTGACATTTCAGCTTAGTAACTCTTAACAAACTAACTATAGGTAACTATATAGACTGAAGTAACACTTGTTAACTAGCTAAGTCATATCAGCGTGAATAATCTTCGTATATAACTAATAAAAATAAGAAAAAAGGATAATCTAATAATTTTACTTAAAAGTAAATATGTACAAAATATAAATCTAAATAAACATAACCTAATAAATTATTAATTAAAATGTTAACTACATATTAAAAACTAAAAACCTGCATACCCTTTTTTTCATAGCTAAAATTGGAAGAAAGAAAAGGCAAACAGTAAATGGTGGAGGAGAAAAACAGATGATTGTTATATGAAAGGAAAAGTAAATTAACATGTTATTTCAAAAGAATAAGATAAACCAAAAAGTGAAAATTAAAAAGATTAAAAGAAAATATTCATACTAGTATTTTACATAGAAAAAGAGCCATATATATATATATATGTATGTATGTTCAACATAAAGACATAAATATGTCAGAAAATAATGTGAAAACAAAAAGTTACAACTATTTGAAGGATTTACAATGAAGAAATAGATATTGTATTCAGAATAATTTAAATACAAAATAGATAACCAGTTGTAAAATTTACTATAGACGGAAACCATAAATCTTAAATAGGTTTCCATTAAGAAAACAAAAAAAAAACTCTTAGTAGGTCATATTTGATAATTAATAGATTTCGATCCTCAATTTAAACAATTTCTCAAAGACCTTTAACAAAAATTGTAGTACTTGTCTTATTATAACAATAAATTTTAAAATTTGAGTTCTCAACTTAAACTATGATATTATCATATCAGATAAATTAAATAATTTTAGTGATAATATTAATCTAAAAATATTACGATATATAACTTCATTAATTTCTAAACATGACCAGTAAGTTTTTTCCCATGCCTTGATAATCTTGTTGAGGATGTAAGGAAAATCCTTTTGCAACTTATGGATCACCTGCGGAAATCTTAGATAATTGGATGAGCTTCTTTAGATCCCCACTTCTTTTTTGAATTACTTGGATCCTCAGTTCTTAGTAACCAAGAATCTTACATAGTAGATAATGGAAATGACCAATTACTTGATGTTAAAGATCTTTCCACAATATATTTAGCTACTTGAAGGTATTATCCACATCCTATACTTTTAATTATATTATCACTATTTTTCTTAATCATTATGGCTGTCATTTCTTACTATCTTAGCCATCATTTATTACCACACAATTGGTATAGCGTGCAGATCAATGCTAACAAATGATAAAATTTTACTTTTGATGCTTGAGTTGTTTAAACATGAAGTATTAATTTCAAATGGATTCCAAGTAAAACCAATTCATATAAAATTTCATCAAATTTTTTTTTTTTTTTTGAGATTTGAAAGAAGTTCTACTCATCTGAATGAATTGAAGTCTAATAATCATTAGCAATAACCTAATTTTCAATTTTTTTTGGGATAAATATAACAGTATTTATGACATAGATGATCATAACTCGTTGGAGGACTTACACGGGAAGAGAGCTTTCAGAAAATAGTTTCAACAGCAAGTAAGTCGTCGTTAATACACAGTTATTTCTTTCAGAAATTTGATCGCAAATGGTATTTTTACAAGGAGTCGTCTATACAAAGATTGAAAAAAGAAAAAGATACATGAAGTACATCACCCCGCCACTGAGCACTTCTACACATGAATGCTGCATCGATACACTGAGCTTTGAAAGAAAATGTTTCTGTATCTGAAGAATTGATATGAGGGTAAAACTCCATACAGTCAACTTCATAATATGGAGCAGGAGCAGACAACTTTCTTGGGTGGATTATCGACCTTCTTTTCTGTTCAACCAAAATCAGAATGTACAAGTAAGGAAATAGATGCAATAATTGAACAATGCCCTTTCATTAAAGAAAAAAATAACCCAATGTCCTTGGCAGAACTCTTCAAGTGCTTTTCATTCTGTTAATTAATCTAACAAGTCTTAACTTCTCATATGACAGATTTGAGATTGTCTAAACTCTAGTCAGATACAGCTGCCTCACTAAATTAGTGGCACAATCAAATGCTTGAAAGATGAGAGAACTAAGGAAATCTAGATTCATGAACTCATTTCTCCCTAATCGCTTACCATCATTCAGGAATTCTATTTGATTTAATTTTTCGGCAGCTGACTTTGCATTGCTGACTTTCCACCAAAAAGGAACAAGATACTGTAGAACACAGCTATAACAGAATCGGAAGGCTAAATAGGTAACAGGCTAGTTCCTCTTATTTACACAATACCCCAAGCATTAACAGCATCACAGGGTTCGCACTATTACATTGAGTGATGATGTTCAAAGTTTCAATATAATACCCTTCTCACTAATGACTAAAATAGCTTTCACTTCTGTCAAACTCCAGTTTCAACCCATATGCATACACAATAGAATCCTTGGATAAAGATGAGGAGATAAAGATCCAAGGGTGAGGATAGTCTGTTATAATTGAAGAAGAGCAAACGCTATCCTCTTGTAGGTTTGCATGACTGTTAAAGTGACATGAATGTTGAGAGCCAATTGTTCAATGTTTTCCTAACTGAAGCACAACCGGGATTTATTTCAGAAGCAGGTCTTAAAAGCTTATAGCACCACCTTATGTTGGTTCTTATTGATTGTCACCTCCAGGTAGGTCTGCCAACCACTAGTCATTTATTAAAATGACATGCTACTTAACAATGAATTTTAAGAGCCAGTTGTTCACCTTACTGAAGGACAAATGGGATTTAGAGGTTCTAAAATCTTATAGAACCAACTCTTATGTTGGTTCTTACCAGTTGATACAACACGTTCCACACAATGCAAGAGAGAGCATAAAACAGTCATTCATCTATAAGCTGAAAAGTCATGGAAGATATTAAGAATTACATAAACAGATTAACTCCAACAAATCTTTAATAGGATAAAGATAGAAAATACCTGTTTTAGTTTTGGCTAAAGACGGCTGTACAACAACATGCATTATGATAACACCCCCAGCAATCTCTCGGTCACCAAAAGGCATCTTACACTGACCAACAGTCTTGTTGTTCTCCAAAATTTTACCAGAACTTATCAGTTTCACCTCATTTACACCCTTAGGAATAATTGTTTTACCTAACAGAGAACCAAAAAAGGGAAGAAAAAAGCATTTATAGACAAAATTTTCAACCAATAGTGATATTACTGGCTTTTCTGTCCCTATAGATCATAGATACAAACTCAAAAAGCTTAAACAAATGGATATATTATTTAAAAAACAGATCAACCATAAAATCTTCAACTTGCACAATAAAACAGAATAATATCTTAGCAGAATTACCATCTTTCTTCTTCCAAAATCAATAAGCCCGAGTAAACCAGATGGGTTTTTCTAAAAATGAACCAAAACTCAGTTTGAGCATCTAAATTGACCAAAAAATCAACATCCTCAAAAGAAAGTTAACGAGAAGGCAAACAAACACAAGTATAAAACACGGAATTTAAAGAATAAATTAAGGGAGAAAAATAACGATGCAACAAAGAATTCGGCGGGTGAGCAAAACTAGCCTTTGGGCCAATCAGTGATGACCCTTTGCTTGAGCACATCGATCGTCGAAGCTGCCGAGTACTGGAAGGGACCGATGTCGGACCCATCGTACAACCTGAACTTTATGTCAACCAAGCCTTCCTCCGGCATTTTCAGTTGACTTTCTCCCTTCATCCACCGACAACTCGCCTCCACGTTTTAAGCCCCTTCTACGAATCGATTAGATACCACCTCATCAGATCTCAACTCAGAACTCCACACGATCCAATAACAAGCGAATTAAGAGGAGAGATCTGTAAGGGCAAAAACTTAAAAACGATCTAAATAAGGAACTTGATAATTAGCACCACTTCGAGAATATTAATCGTAAAAGAAAAGAGAAAGATTCAGAAAGCTAACCAGATTATCAGCAGCTGACTATTAAGTTGAGCGTCTTGTATTTGGCTGTTTTTCAAGGTTCGGTGTGTTTCGGTGAAGTGAAGACGACAATAAGTGTGGCCAAAGGCATCACACCAACCGTAAAACGTCGCAGTTTTACTGTTTTTTTAAGTCTCCGTACTTCTTACGTAACCGCTTTTACTTTCTTCTCTCCCCCTCTTATGAAAACGGCGCCGTTTGACTCGGCGTTTTATTCTACCACAGTTCATTTTCTTCCCTCAAGTCGAAAGAGTCAAACCCGCAAGCGCCCAAAAAAAAAAAAAAAAGAAAATCAAAATGAAGAGAAAGAGAGAAGAAAACAATCAGAGCAGCAGCAGCAACAATAACAACGACATGGAGATAGTTTGGCAAACCCCAGCAAATCCGCCGCAGAAAGAGGACTACATTTTTCACAACGGTAAATGCAAGCATAAGATCAATTAGAGTTCTCTAATCTGGATGTAGGACCTGCTTAGTTTGGATAATTATGGGGAGGAAATTCAATTTCTGGCGGGAATTGTGCAGGGAGGCGTCATGTTAGACCGTACTACTTTGAGTTCATCTGTCATGTCAGTAACTGTGTTTGATTTGCTCCTTTATGTTGTAAACTAATAACAGCTTTGATTCTTTCTCATATTATTATGAAAAAACAATTATTAAACCCTAGTTGTTCGGAATGCGTGATTATGCTGTAATCTGTGTGCTGCAGGTTAAGAATCGCTGGACGGGAAAAACAATAGTGGACTTGTTCGCCGAGGAGTTCAAAGGCCGACCTTATGATTACTACGTATTAAATTTTGTTTAGTCACTCCTGTTTTTGCTGTTTTGCTTAGTCTGGTTATTTAGTTAAATGCGCGTCAATTGACCGTATCAAACGCACCTGCTTGCTCATATTTGTCTTCTCTCTGTCGATTAGGCTTAATCTTTAAGAAGATTCATCAACTTAACTCTATTAGTGTGGAGCAAATTTAGATTTTTTTTTTTTGGAATCCGTTTAAACTAAAAGCATGAAAATTTTACTGGAAAATAATAAAAATTTAGCTCAGAGAGAATTTTAAGTGTTAGTACAATATATACTTAAAATTAATTTTACCATATTGTGAATTTTCAAATAAGTTTCACAAAAATTTTTAGCTTCTTCCTAACCCTTAACCTTCATTAAATTGCTACCTTGCTTATGTGATTGTGCAAACTGTATGTTGAAATGTGTTTCATTAATCTGTGCTACTCGCATGAATGCTTTATTGACCATGTGGAATGGCTGCATTTTTAACTAACTTTAGTGCTTGATACATCTCTTTTTATTATAGTGACTGTAAATTTATGATGTGTATCACTTTAGGTTAGTGCTGTCAAATGTGGACGGATACAAGTCGATGGGGAACTGGTGCCTGTTTCATACATAGTTAAATCATCACAAAAGATAAGCCACTTCTTACACAGGTTTACCTTGCCCTTTGCTGGCCCTATTTTGAATTCATTCTTTATCTGTAATATGCTTCCTTATTTTGGTCTCTACTCCCAAAGTAAGCAGCAAAACTTGCAGTGCTAATTGCTTCTGTAGGTTCTTTTTTCTGTTCCTGTTCTGCCAACTTGAAATTCTGAATATTTTTTCTTTTAAGATTTCAGTACCCTTGCCTTGATATTTTTACTGATATCTCAAAGGCTTCAGGCATGAACCCCCTGTTATGGCTTGGGATATCACAATTCTCCAGAAAGAACCAGAGGTGCTCACAGTTTGCAAGCCAGCATCTATTCCAGTAAGTCACAATTGATTTTGTGTCCTCCTTTGTGCCATCAGTTGAGCATATGAGCATAGGAGTTTAGGTTGTTAAATGTTTATCATTTCTGTGAAAGTCATGAAACATGTTTCTTATCTTAGGTTGAGTTTGAGTTGTTATTCTTTCAATGTAAATCCTATGTTGTTTTTTCTGTCATTGAATAAAATTTTATTCCTCATAACTTATGTCATTGTTGTAAGATTGTAATATTGGGGGAATTTGAAGTTCTAGTTCAAAAAAGGCTGCTCTATTTTGTTTATTGCGAGAATCTAGAATATATGTAATTCTTTTGGAATTAGATTATTTTCCTGCAGCAAATCATGAATAATAGATGTGTAATATAAGTTCTTCCATGATCCTTATGCTTGTGTTAATTACCATAATAAATAGAATATCAAACTTCCTTTTTTTTTTTAATTTTTTCTGAATTTGTTGTCTATTCTGAAATTTTAAATTTGTATGTTCTTACTATTGTGTAGGTGCATCCATGTGGTCAATATCGTAAGAACACTGTTGTTGGCATCCTTCAGGCAGAGCATGGGTTGGCACCTTTATTTCGTATCCACACAATGCCTTTAAGCAGATATCATAAATATAAATAGAAAGATCTCAACAGGTTTTCTATGTTTGTGAACAAAATTGACTCGTATTTTGTTCTACTTAATTGTTTCGCGAAATTTGTCTTTTGATCATTTGCTGTAACAATTTTCCCTTGACACCATTGTGTTAGCTATTCACCGGTTGGACCGTCTTGTATCTGGACTACTCATCTTTGCCAGAAATGCTACTAGAGCAGATCTCTTTAGGCAACAGGTGATATATGAAAAATCTTATGAGAAAAAAACAAAAACTATCATTCTTTTGCATTCAATTAACTATATTTGGATTGTGGGAAGAGGAGGGAAAGGAAAGGAAGGATTAGATGCTCAATCTCTTTTCCCTTGTTTGGATAAAATATAATAATTAGTAAAGAAAAGAGAGAGATACTGAGTACCTCTGCCATTCCCTTGTAATTCTAACTTTTTCATTCCTTCAAATTTGGGGAATGGAAGAGAAAAGAAATGACTTAAGAATTTCAAAGAGAAGACTCTATTTTATCTTTACAACTTTACTTGTTATTCTATTTATAAAAGGTATTATTGACAATTTTCTAATAACAAATAGTTCCCTTTCCTTTATAAAGCTAAACCAAACATTACAACAATCCTTTTGTTTCCTTTACATTTTCAATTTTTAGTTATCAAAACAAAGGAAACACCTTCCCCTCCCTTCCTCTAAAATCATTCTATTCCTTTCATTTTTTTCCTCTCCATTTTTTTAGTACTTTTTTCCCCAAACATAGTGTAAAAGTTTAGGTTAAGTGGAACCTTTAACTGACAGATCCGTCATGCAGAGAACTTGAGTGTAGAGAGAGAAATGCTTAAAAAGGAAAATCAAGGGAGAGTTTCTTATTTTATGGCATAGTTCTTGAAGAGAAAGCAAATTGACATCTTATGGCTAAGAGAAATGAGTACAAAGATATTATTGACTGCTTTAGCTTGATGGATTGCCCCTTTCCAGACCTTGGCATGTCTTCTCCCTCTCCTCGGTCGGATTGGGGACTGCTTTCCTTTTGTCCACGGTCCTTATCCGTGCATGAAGCATCGCGTTTTGCATCAACACATCAAAACCACTCCTTTCTCTATTATTTTAGCTTGCTTTTTTAATAGAGAGTTTCTTGGTCACCCTTTATGCTATAGGACAAATTAGGTTACTTTGCCTACTAAGAAATTGGGGAAAACCTACATATCACACATAGAGCTCTTAGGCATCACATCCAAGGGTTGATTGAGTCACACAATCAATTATGAAAAATTCTTAAAAAATTATTGTTAAATACCTAGATGATCAATAAGTGAAATTATAAAGTTATTTATAATAATCTTTAAGTACTTTTTTTTAAAAGTAGAATTAAATTAAGGAATAATAAAGTAGTAGAATCAAAAATACTAATCTTAATAAGAATTAAAAATTAATAGTAATAATATTAGAAATACTAATTCTAGTACAAATAGGAAAACATTGTAAGAAAAAAAAATTTGAAGTTACTAAAACTATAATATTGTACTTTCTAACTAGTATGATAGTTTGACACTTAAAATAATTATTATTTCTAATCTTTTTAGACATAACTCATTCTGTATCATTCTCCTCTGATTGGAGAAAGTTCACCCACGAGTTTTGAAGTTGCGAATAATGTAAAACTTGATACTCACGCTTTCCTGTAAAAATTAAGGAACTTTTTTGCTTGGTCATTCTCTTGAAAAAAATATATGATGAAAACACATAATTGTTTATGAGTGTGGAATCCTGATGGTAGGATGATATCAACCTGTTGACCAATTTGTGCTTCAACTTCATTCTTGAGTTGAAAATCATTAAGTCCTAATTATTGGGTTAGGTTCCTCTTTGCATTGAACTTCTATAAAACTCTCCGTAGGTACTGAAAAATCTTGAATAACCTCAACATCGATGGACTCATTTTCTTTATGTTTTCCACTGATTGAAGGTGCTTTTGTTGTTTATATTTATTCATTTATTCTGTAGCTGGAGATTTTAAAGCTTTATCTTTTATGCAGTGTATAAAACAATGAATGTTAGTTATCCCATCATATTGAGCTTTTCGATCACAAAGTTAATGTTGACCTAGAAGAATATGTGTGAACATCATAGGAACTACATCACACAAGATTAGATCACTACAAGGAGCATGACAAATAGAAACAAGATTGTTCAATTACCAAAATGCTCGATTTATCCATCCATACTTAGTCTATGTGGCTGGGGATGTGATTGTGTTCAACGATTGAGTCGTTCAACTGTAGATATTGAAACAAGATTTCTGCAACGTTCTTTGTGAATGATAAGTTTCTTGTACTTATTTTCAGAATGAGCTACAGTTTGGAAAATTAGAGAATACTTTGGATCTTTTTCTATGTTAACTGCACAATTGTGCTCAATTACAATCAAGAAAGACTTGTCAATCCTATTATCTTTTGATGATGACTCACTCTCTTCCTCATGGTTCCACATGCTTTAAAATTTTTCCAATTACTCACTTTTGCAAAAGGTACTTCAAACAAGAAAAGTAGATAAAAATATGTCCTTTCGAGCTACTGAAACTGGTCTGAGAGAGAATAAGCTGGTCTGGGTTGACCAATTTGGTTAAACCTAGTTCAAAAAGTTAAAACAGATCACGGAACAAAATGGCCCACTCATCTGGTCACTGGATGGCAGTGGCTGTTTGGTAGTTGGCTCAACCAGAGGTGATGGTCTCAGATCGGAGGCCAGTGTAGGACATGACGGCACAGAAATCTAGATTCGTGCGAGGCAGCGGCTATGGGGGCTTGCACTGGCGAGTGGCGGTTTCCAGTGGAGTTTTGCCGTGGGGCTTCGGGGTAGGCCGGTTGGGCCCTTCTAGAGTGGGTAGTGCTGGCGGTGTTGATCACCTTCGGCAGGTGCCTATTGAACGGTGCTGACGATTATTTTACAGTTTTTTTGAATTCTTTTTCCAATGAGTTTGGGACTGTTTTCTGGTGTAGGATTTTAAGCATCTAGGTATAGAGTTTTTCTCAAAAAAGAATCTAGGTATAGGATACTTTTAGCTTGAATACCAAATTGATAATTTGTCTACTAAGAAATTAGAGAAAACCTAGATATTATACCTAGGGTTTTTAGGCATCATGCCTTAGGTTGATTGAATCATACAATCAACTATGAGAATTTCTCAAAAATTTATTATTGAATACTTGGATGATTAATTAGTGAAATTACAAAATTATTTTAATAATCTCTAAATAATTTTTCCTACCTAGAATTAAATTAAAAATTAGTAAATTAGTAGAATTAGGAATACTAATCCTAGTAAGAATAATAAACTAATACTAATAATATTAGAATACTAATTTTAATACAAATAGGAAAATACTAATAAGAATTAAACTCTTTAGTTACTAAAACTATAATATTATATTTTTAAATAGTAATGTAGTTTTATATTTAAAAGAATTATTATTTGTAATCTGTTTAGGCATAATCCATTATGCACCACTTTATGAAGCAAGACCTTTAGAAATCCCTTTTCCGAGCAGGAGACCAATTGGTTAATGGAGCCGATGACTCGAAAGGAGCCCTACCCATAATCTTGTTCTCACAAAAAATGGTACCAAAAAAATCCTGTATCATGCCTTCCATGTCCAGGCAATTCGAGGAGTGATCAGAATGAACCATATGGAGGAGACTCTGAATTATCCTGTCCTTCATTTCCCCAAACATACTGAGAGGATAAATCTATTGCTGAAGTTTCTGATTTTGATTTTCATATTACCAATGTCAATCTGTATGGCTAGTATACAAGTTTCTGATAGTTTTGCCTGTGTTACTCCTATGACCTGTTGATAGAAAGATCTGCATGTTATCTCTTTTTTCTTTTGGCTTGTGTGTGCTTATTCTTGCACATATACTGCTTGACTGATTATAAGCCGAGTGTGTGAGGTTAATATAGAGTTATGCAAATGTGAAGTCCATGTTTACTTCTGTTTAGCTATTACTTGATCACAAGGTTTCGTAAGTGACAACTATTTGGTTTATTACATACCACTTTCTCCTTGAATCCAACAAACTAGAAAGAAGAGGAGCAATTAATTTGGGTAGATTATATGAAATCTTATCTGTCTGAAAGAAGCTTTTAACTTATGGTGCCCTTTATGGGACACAGCAGTTTGAACTGTCATTTTGAACCTCACTGTTCTTTATCGCAATAAAGTTGCTTACTTTTTCCACAAATTTAATGTATGTCTGAATGCACCATGTGATCTTTGCAGATTGAAGCCGGCATGGTGCAAAAGCAGTATATTGCAAGAGTCATAGGGGTATTTCCAGAGGATGAGGTATATTTTGTCATATTTACTACTTTTGAAACAATTTCCAACTAATGGTAGGGAAGTGGATTATCTCAAAAAAAAAAAAAAATTATCTCAAAAAATTGTAGGAAAGTGGACAAACAGTCACACTTCATGTCTTTGCATAACCTGTTACATCAAAGATTTTCATGGATGTTACTCTGTTTCAAAATTGTTCTAGAATACTTAATCAGGTCAAGGGTGGAACTTTGTTCTTTTTAAACCTTTAACTTGCATCATGAGAATTGTTTTTGATCTAATCATTTTTGTTATTGGCAACCAACTTATCTTAATTCTTCTGGGGTTTGCCATAAATTCATGATCCAAGGTGGTGTTTTTTAAAGCATTTTTTAGTGATTGCGGCTTGTGGCACTGCACCAGGCCAACTAAAGGCCACCCCTTTCTTTTTGTTGTTTACACTAACCTTAAAAGAAAATGCTCCTATTTGTTTCCCAGTATTCTGATTATGTCCTGATAAAAAATATTTTTTATTGTTCGATAAGGTTTTAACAATAAAAACTACTTGTCTTCATTGCTTAAATAATTTTCTGATAAAAATTTTGTTATTACATGTTATTGATTTTAATGTTTTAACTTATTGTTGTTTCATATAAATTTCATATCTTATTCTTATACTTGGTAATTTTATTTTTAAAGACTTTTCTACAGAAACAGTGAAGGCAATTTTATTTTATGCATTGCCACTAATATAAAAAGTTTTGCTATGGTAAGGCGTACCGTCAAATAAATTCATTGGCTACTACATCAACTACTCAAATTGATAATCATTTGTGATGTTGACATAATTGAACTTTTAGCTTAACTACATGACGGAGATACTGGGTGCAAAGTACTGCTTGAAAGCAGAGTGACTTGACCTTGTTGTGGTTGAATTTGAGGAACCCGTAGCATCTGGCCTTCAATAAATTATCAGTAATTCACTGAGTTTCAGTTTGATGAAACTTCAACAGTTAGTACCATATATGGTATCCTGTATTTTTAAGATTAATTATTTCCTGGTTTGACATCTATGTGAATTTTTCTTTCAGAAAGTTGTTGATGTTAACATAAATTACAATGCTAGAGAAGGAAAAAGTACTGCGGAGGTGAGGTTTTGCATTCCTTCTAATTATAAACTTATGATGATTTACAATTGCTTCAACTGTGAGGTGAGAGGGCAAGAATAAAAGGGATGATAAGTGTGACTTATTGGGATGGAGGGCTGAACCTGTGCAATAGTATGCCCACTTTTAGTTTCATGGTTGCCCAATGATACTGATACAGGGCTTTAGTTCAAGTTATTGAACAATTTCAACCCAGCTACATAATGCCCCCTTTAGTTGTCCTGGATTTTTTTATATTTTTGGAACTGGATTTTTGATTATCAATTTCTCCTTCAAGTTAATGCTAAGACATATAGTTTTCATGTCAGTTGGTGGATCCTAAGTCTTACAGAGCATACTTTAAGAAAACAACTCTAGCAGTTTATTCTCTCTTTAGTTACATTGGATAAGTGCCAGTTCTTCTGTTTTGGAATATTTATTTGCTCCTGTTTCTAATGAGGACGTGACTGATTTGGTGTATCTGTGGACCTTTTTTTTTTTTTTTGAAATAAATATATCTGTGGACCTCATAATCTGTATGTTACAGTTCCTTTCCTTTTGTCTAGAAAGGAAAAGTAGTGTTTAGAGTTTGTACAATGTCATGCAGTCCTGAGTGCTTTTCATTAAGAATTCCTTTCTCACCTTATTAAGTGTTGCACTTTGCTTAATGATCAGATCAGGAATTTGAATGCTGTTAGGAGGTAACTGACATAAGGAGTTATTTTTTTTTTTCTTTTTTGGCTAACAGAATCAAAGTCAAATTCTCTTTATGTAGGAAGGCCAATCTTTTCGTGATAAACCTGTCAAGGGAAAGGCTGCACGTACAAAATTTACTAGGATATGCACAAATGGAACTCATAGCATTGTACAGTGTGAACCAATCACTGGCCGGACTCATCAAGTAAGACACATGTAGCCTTCACAAAGAATCTAAACAAGTTCATAAGGCCACCACTTTGTGAAGTTGTTGCTTCTTGTTAAAATGACCTCAAAATATCCGGTGCTTTTTCTTCATGATTTTCTGCTTATACTTGAAATATTTGTTGTGTTTCATTATGTCTGATAGGTTGTTATTCTCATTCTTAATGGCATTCTAAGTTCCTGTTTGGTTTTAGAAAAATGTTCTTAATTTTCTTTTATTTTTTCAGAAAACATCATTTTCACTATGTTTTGGAATGCCAGAAAACCCACAAGTGCTTTTTGAATTTCAAGGATTAGGAAATAAATGTGTTTGGTTTAACTAGCTTTAATTTTTTGAGAACACAAATGAGAACAATATTCTATTTCCGATTTATAAGAAAACTTGTTTGTTAGTTTAGAAAATTACTTTTCTAGAAGGATTATAGTGAAAATTTTGCACATTAGCACCTACGTTTTGGAAAGCAGATATATAAGATCATATCTGTATAGAGGGAATCACTGCTAAGGTTGAAAGAAGAGGCAAGCAGAAAAAGAAGTGTGAGTAGAGAACTTAAAGAATTAGAATGCTCAGTAATTATGAGGAGAAGAGGACAGGATGGGAGGCAAGAGTTAACAAAAATCTGCTTATTTGCAATTCTTCATGATTAGTCGTATTATTTCATGGAAGTGAGCGCCATCAACAATGTTAGGAAAATAGCTTTCATTAAAGGGGCTCTGATTAAGGGAAGGGAGATGTAGTGCCTCTTTAGGAAACTAAAGTGCTGGAGATGTCTGATTTCTAGTGAGAAGCAGTTGGGATATGTGTGATTAAGATGTCTTGATTTTCTTACAATAGGAACAGCTGGTGGTATTTTGATTACATGGAAAGATAGTAAACTGCAGTATTGAGAAGCATCAGTTGAAGGTTTCTATTTTTCATGAGGTCCTTCTTAGGAGCTCAAACATTTTTTTTTTCTGAAATATTTAGGAGCCCAAACTTTAGATGGATCGTCTCTGGTGTCCATGGCATTGATGAGCGGTTGGATCAGAATTGATGTGGGATGACCTTAATGTTGTTGGACTTGGAATGGGCTGTTGAATGGTAGCAATTTTAATGTGGTAATTTTGTAGCATGAGAGCTCCGGTGGCAATGCTTCTTCTCTGTGTTCTCAGGAATTTTGTAAACTGTGTGGTCTCAACCTTAGGGATTTACCCTTGAAGGGTAGTCAAGCTCTAGAAGGGATGAGATTTTCATAACAGAATCTAGGTTTCTCTGATATGGAAGAAGCTTATCTGCGTATTTCTCAAATTTTCCTATTGTGACCCACAATTAATAATTTATCTCTTTGCCTTGACCTAAATGACCTATGCTGGGGCTGTGGAAGTTAATGGATTTTATTGATTTGGTGAATTCTCGGTGGAATGAGAAGGCCCCAGTGGGTATGCTAATGGACTAGAGCGGTCGTCCATAGTGTGGCTCTTAGAGATTGTTAAGGTGGAGGGGGTAGCTAAGATTAAGGATTTCCGATCTATCAGCTTAGTTGGGAGTGTCTACAAGCTTATCACGGAGATGTTAGCCAGAAAAATGACAAAATGATGGATAAAGTGATAGATGAGTGTCAACATATTTTTGTGGAAAACAGATTATGGATGTGGCACTAGTGGCTAGTGATGTAGTAGATAATTTGCTATTTCTGAATAGAGAAGGGATTTTATGCAAGCTTTATATAGAGAAGGCATATGATCACGTAAATTGGAGATTTGTTGAATATATGCTAACGAGAATGGGCTTTAGAGAGAAATGGTATAAGTGGATCAACTCCTATATTACTATTACATCTTTTGTGGATCAACTCCCTTTCCTGGTTAAGTCTGAATGTGCCTGAGTGACTGCATAACCATGCTGATACTCATGCAGCTTGCGGTCCACTCTGTTTGTCAGGTCTAACACCTCCAAAATCTTGCCAAGTGATGAAAAACTTACTTACACTATCCCATGAGACAAATCCAAGCAGCGACCTCATGCTTAAACAAAAACATAACACTCAGGATTGACAAAATATATTGAAAACGACGAGTAATTACTCCTTAAAAATTAAAAACTAAGAAAAGACATTATTAAATGTAAGGGTAGAGAAGTAGTTATAAGTTATAGTCGTTAGCTTGACTTTCTTTTGGAGCTCAGTCTCTCAATTTGAAGTCTTCGGTTGCCGGATTGAACCATCCTAGAAAATATGGCTTAAGCTCCCATTTTGTTGTCTCCACATGTGGCTCTTCCTTTGTTCCTAGCACAACGTCTGATAGAGATTCACCTTCCAACTCTATCACTTCCTTTTTCAAGTTAGGATCCTCCTCTTCAATTGTGTTTGATAGCATGAGACATCTCTCTAAATTTTCTTCCTTTAGAATGGTTTGTTGTTGTTTATTTACGCACTCATCAATAATACCAATTGCGCAACACATATCATCCAAACTAATAGAAGGATTTTTCATTGCCTTCTTGATATCAAAGACTATCTCCTCCTCACTGAAACTAGGAGTTAATTTACCATCCTTTACATCTATTAATGCTTTAGAGTCTTTCTCTTATTAGAAAAGATATTCTTAATAAATTTTGCATATTGTGGCATCTGCATCAAAGTCTCAACAAATGGAATGTTAATCTATAATTTCTTAAAGATCTCTAAAAATCTAGCAAACTTAGCATCTTTTTTTTCCTCTCTAATTCTATCTGGGTAAGGAAACTTATTAACATCTACACTAGAGTTTGTATTAAAAATTGTAGAGTTAGTATTTTTCTTACTTTGCTCTTCCACACTTACCTCAATTGGGTTTGATTGAATTACCTTATCAGTTTTTACCTTTAGCTTTGGCTCCTCCAACACCTTCCCATCTCTGAGTATAATGGCCTTGATATGCTCTTTGGAATTAGTCTCTGAGTTACTTGGTAATGACCCTTGAGTTCGACTCGCAATAGTATTGGCAAGCTGTTCAATTTGTCTCTAGATTCTTCATGGAAGCCTCATGATTTTGCAACCTTCCTTCGGTAGAGTTAATAAACCTTGTCATCAACTCTTCCAAGTTAGATTTATTTTCTTGTGGTGGAGAATACTCTCGAGGTTGGAGTCCTGGTGGTGGTTGTCTCCCTTGATTCTTATTATTGTTCCACGAGAAATTTGGGTGATTTCTCTAACTAGGATTGTAATTATTACTGAAGGGATCATTTTGCTTGCAAGAATTATTAACAAAGTTAGCTTGTCCAGGAAAATTATTAGCAGCAAATGTATTACCTGACACTCTTAATTCGAGTGTCCTCCTCCAAAAGAATCACAAATAGCTGTCGCTACAGTTGATTTTTGCAATTGCAACCCTCGTAGATTCTTATTCAATGCTTCCATTTGAACTGCTAATGCTGTAAAAACATCTATAGTATAAATTCCAGCTGTCTTCTTTGTAGATTGTCTTTCACTAGCCCATTCCCTTGAGTTGGCAGCCATCTCCTCTATCAATTCATAAACTTTTTCAGGTGACTTCATATATATTGAACCTCCACATGAAGCGTCTATAATGCTTCTAACTTGACTATTAATTATATTGTGGAAGGTTTGTACTTTCTGCTAAATAGAAAATTCATCTTGACGACATCTTCTTAGCATATCCTTGTATCTCTCCCATGCCTTATATAGGGCCTCTAAATCTCCTTGCGAAAATTTAGCAACCTCATTAATTAATTGTGCAATTTTAAAAGGAGGAAAATACCTACTAAAGAATTTTTGCACCAATACATTCCAAGTAGTTATGGAGTTCAGTGGTAGTGATTGTAATCAATGTTGTGCTTTATCCCTTAAAGAGAAAGGGAAACGGCTCAACGTATTTGTATATTCAGAAACTCCATTGTACTTGAAAGTATCACAAATTTGGAGGAAACTAGTTATGTGTTGGTGTGGATCTTCACTAGGCAATCCTCCAAATTGACAAGTATGTTGGATCAACTGTAGTATTGGTGGTTTGATATCAAAATTGTTAGCTTGAACAACAGGTCTCAAAATGTTTGGACTTGTGCCTTCCAATGATGGCATGACATAGTCTTTCATGGTGCGAATAGGTTGAGCACCTCTAGCGCCATTATTGTTTTCACCTCCTTCAAGAAGATTGTTTTGATTTTCTGCCATGTTGAGTTTACGGTTTGCTCTTTTTCTTGAATGACAAGTTTGTTCTGGTTTAGGATTAGATTCTGCTAATAACTCCTCAGAATTTCTGGTCATACACTAGCAAAACTTGAAATAGAAGAGAAATAAATTAAAAAAAGTAAATTATCAAATTAACAGCTAATAACAATATACTAATTTCTAAATAAATCTTTGGTCCCTAGCAACGGCACCAAAAATTTGATGCGTTCTAAAAAACATTAGCAAATGCATTAGTCGTATCAGTAATATAAATATGAGAATCCAAATATTGTCCCATGGAGACCAATTTTATGAATCAATTATTATATTGAAAACCGTTATTTGAGAAATAATAATTGGATGAGAGTATATTAAAATAAAAATATAAAACTAACCAAAATTGTAGAGAATTGAATAACCATAGTAAATTGAAGATGAATCAATCAATAAAACAACGTTAGAGTCCACAATTTTCCTAAACTTGCGTAGATATCAATTTCGATAATGAATTCTGAGTTAAGATTGGAAGGTTAATTTTAAAGGCTGGTTAACCTTATTCAGGGACATCACATTTCATATTTAAATGAAACTCTTATTCAGACACTTCCTTCGAAATCTTTATATAATAAACCCAATTATTTGACCTTATTTAGGAACACGAATACATGTCATAAGTCAATTTCAGATTATCTATTCGAACAAATTTATTATTAAACCTGTTATGCAAAACCCTAATAATCATGCATTGAAATCTCATCAATTGAAAATCCTAACTTCTCTATTCGACACATCATTAAGAAATTCAATCAACAAAATATCCATATAAGCATTT